ATATTTAAATCAAATAAACCAAGTCCACCCCTTGAGGTGGCAGGAACTTGGTGTGGTCTGATTGGCAGCTCAGGTATAAAAGCCTGGTGCTCCCAGGTGGCAGCATTTGCCTGAAGCCAGCCAGGTGACCACAGCTGCCCAAGAATGGATACCCCAGCACTGGGGAAACAAAGAAAAGGTTAGCACAACTTAAAATAAAAAAACATTGCTGAACATACATAAGTTAGCTAAATGTGCGCTACAGCGATAACTTAAGTGCTTCAACAAAGGCTAAATAATGAGTGTGTTGTTTGAAATGCTAAATTATGTGTTCATGTGATTTTGCATGTGCAATATGAGAGTAAAGTGTTTCAACCTAAACCAAAGTGGTTAACCTGTTAAGTCCTGAGCTATTTTTCAGGCCTTTTCTCGAAAATTACATACCCATAATAAAAACAGTTTATCTCTGCAACCACAAGGTCTGTTTGAATAATTCTTGTGTCATAATTAAAGGAACACTTGTAAGATGTGTTCAGATGTGTAAATATCAGTATATATATTACTGGTTAAAAGTAAATGTAGATGGCACACACACACACAAAAATTCAGGTTAAAAAAAAAAAAAAAAAAAGCACTTTCAGGATAATGTTCTCTTTGGAATGATCCAGTTGCAGCTCTAAATCTCTCCCAAATCATAGCACAATATGTGAACATTCTCTCTGCAAAGGTTGACTCTGATAAAGTGAAGCACAACAAAATCAGTTTTTAAAAGTTTTTAGTCCAGACACTTCAGGCGAGGTGACATTTTTGCACACTTTGGCACATTTTGGCACACTTGTGACCATCTGAATTTTTTTATGTACTAACTATATATATTTCACTTGTATTTCACTAATGGAAATACAAGTGAAATACAATCAAATACAGCAGTTATTTTTTTTAGTTAAAAAAAAATAAAAAAATCCAACCAGACCGCTGTCTGTGTTACCCGTCCTGTGTCTAATGCTAATCAGACTGCTGTGAAGCTCCTGTGGTGACGTAAGGCTGTATCTCCGTCATGGATTGGTCGATTTCGGTGATTGTTACCGCCTTCGAATCGTTAGAGCCAATAGAATATAGCAATAGCCACCAAAATGAGATTGACAGCACTTTTAGCCAATCAGAATCAGCAGAACGCCATCTTGTAGACGAGCCGCTTGCTGAGCTAGTAGCTCCCTTCTGCTAACGGAGTCTTCAAAAAGACGCCCGGAATGATTTCAGTGTAACACAGGAAGTAGTACTGATTCCGCTGTGGATTTACCGAACGCTTGTAATGGAAAAACAGCGAAGGTAAGAGACATTTTACAACTTACAACTTGATTTTAGAGAGCTTTGATTGATATGTTTGGAATCTGTGGACTGTCTGCTTTAGTTTGAGGGGTTGTTTGTGCGTTTTGCATACAGGACCGAAGAGCTGAAGCCAGAAATGTGGCGAGTGGGTTGACTTGGTGGCGCTATATCGATTTCCATATTTGAGCATTCATTTAGTTGGTGTTTGAGTTGTGTTTGGGGCATGTAAAATGGCTTATATATTCTTGTAGCCCAGGTTCTGCTGTGTAACTTGATGTGCAGCATCACTATATTCTTTCATGATGAGTGCATTGTTTCACACTATTTCTTTGTATAAAGCCCGAGAGGCCCTAAAGGGTTAATGTGGTTCCCAACATTTATGACTGGGATGGATGCAAGTGCGGCCATCACTATGTGTATTTGTTTGAGCTGCATTTGTTTGGTAACATTTACAATAAAGTACTTTGATTAGTATTATCTAAGTTTCTGTTTATCTTACCAATGTTGTATAGGTATTCTTTTGCAATGATCCGAGGCCCTATAATCTTTAAAATATGACCGTCATGAATGAAATGAAGCCATTTTGAGGCCATGCTAACATTTCAGTCCCATAATGGGCTGCAGTCACTTTTTGGCAAGAGGAAAACTGCATTGTATGAGTTAAACTGATCCTTTATTTCACACAGTAAAAACAGGTAGATTGAGTCTTCTGTTGAGCACAAAGCAGGTTAAAAAGAAAAAAAAGCAGAACATAAGGATAGTTGCACACATGGCTAGCAGTCACTTTTTGGCCTTTTTATCTCTCACAGCGTGCAATGACTCGTCCTCTCACTAGAGGTCAGCAAAGACCTACTCATTTTAAAGGAAACACCAACAACCCAGCTGGCCTGCTACTTTTAGAGGAGGGCCAATCTTCAGTTTGTGTTCTAAACGCATTTGTTGTCATGGGGGTGGACAAAGTAATAGATACAGTTTCAGGCCACACCATTTAAAACAAGAAAATAAGTACACCTCTGTGCCAATTGCTTCTTACAGACTCCTCATTTTCCTTTAAAAAAAACAACAAAAATAACAAACAAACTGACAGTAAGATACAGTCCAGATCACTACACCAGCCCCTATAATGAAAATTAAAATGAAGCAAATAACCTCAGCGTATTTGTCCCTCTGCATAATGTCATTCCAGAGTCTTTGGTGTCGCTGAACTTCAAAATCTACTCGTAAAGTATCTGTTACAGCACTAATCAGCATGTTTACATCGTTGTGTGCGAGTGCAGTGTGAGTTTGTGTTTATATCTCTGAATATGCGTGCATGTATGCATGCGCCTGTTTGTTTGTTTATGCAAGTGCATGTGTGTTTTTGTGCAGCGGTACTTGTGTGTATACTGCTGGTCCAGGTGATCCCGGGGCCGTGGTTTGGTCTGTGGGGAACGAAAGAGAGGGAGAGAGAGAGAGAGAGATAGGAGAGAGGGCCAGGCAGCTGTATTTGGAATAAACAGACATTACCCTGCTGTGTTCTAATTTACTGCAGAGTGGGAATTAAACTTTAAGCTCGTCCCGCCCCT